ACAACTTTATGTTTTCTGCTACCTACCTGCGTTTGATCTCTGGGCATCCATAGGAGCACGGTTAGTAGGAGCGTGTGGCAGACGAGCGGCCGCACCTCCTGCCCGCTGGAGCCATTTTAAGAAACTTGTAGTAGACTTTACATGGGGTGAGAGTGAGATTAATACTTGAATATGAGAAATAACCAACTACCATCTAGCTAAACCGTTTTAGCATTCATACATCACCTCATTTAAAAAAAGAAGAAGAGTTGGAGGTATCAATTATTACGCTGCAACTTGCATTTAGAGTTTACTTGGGAGTTGGGATTCGAACAATTATTCATCCATGCACCGCACACATCAGATGCTGACATTTGTACGCGTTTATAGGAGTCCACTACACTATATGGCAAGGCACAATTCATTTCATATAAGGAAAAGCTCAGGGGCTCTGCAGTCGGCACACTCACACAAAGTCTCCAAATTAAGCAAGTGATGGCGCGAGCCATGCATCCAATACTGGTCCTAGTGTTCTTTCTAGAACTAATTGTCTTCTTGGTGATGGCATTGGCACCCGCCATGGGTGGCACCATGTCGCTGGCGCTGCCAGGCTGCCCTGACAAGTGTGGCGATGTGCTCATCCCTTACCCCTTTGGTGTCGGGGCTCAATGCTCCGCAGTCAGCCTCAACAGCTTCTTCAATCTTGACTGTAAAAACGCCTCTCACCCGCCACGGCCAACGGCGGGGGGCCCGGCCGACATAGCTGTTGACGTCGTTGATATCTCACGGGAGCATGGTGAGATCCGGATGCTCATCCCGGTCAGCTACATCTGCTTCACATCAAGTGCCGTAGTATCGGCCACCAACAACGATACTGTGTGGTTCAGCCTGCAGGACACACCGTTCATCCCATCCCCTGGACGGAACCGCTTCACGGTCATTGGCTGCAACACCATGGGGGTTGTTAGCGGTTTCCGTGGGGTCAGAAGTCAGTACCTCGCTGGCTGCTATTCTTACTGTGATGGTGCCAGCGGTGCGTCAGAAGATGGATCGCCGCGCACCAGGACAGGCTGCTGTGAGGTGTCCATCCCGACCAACCTCGCCGCCATCGGGCTGGCCTTCTCGACTAACAGTAGCAGTGTGTGGGGATTCAACCCATATGCTTCTACGCCATGGTCGCCGAGGTCGGGTGGTACAGCTTCCGGCGCCGTGACCTTGTCGGCAAGCTTGGGTTCATCAATGAGAGGGCGAAGAATGGTGCACCTATCATCGTGAACTGGAGGGCTCAGATTATACGTCGATACTGTTTGCATACTCACAGAAAAAGAGATCAGGATAGCCACTGATAACTACAACGAAGATCGAGTTCTTGGATGCGGCGGTCATGGAATGGTCTACAGGGGTACCTTGGATGACCTCAGAGAGGTTGCCATAAAGAAGTCCAAAGTAATCAACGATAGCTACAGGGACGAGTTTGTAAATGATAATCATAATCTTGTCGCAGATCAACCACCGGAACATCGTGAGGTTACTTGGCTGTTGCCTGGACATAGATGTCCCAATGTTGGTCTACGAGTTCGTCGCCAACGGGACGCTGTATGATCTTCTTCACGGCAGTCCTGATCACAATCCTTCACCAATTCCATTCGATCTCCGCCTGAAGATTGCAACACAATCAACAGAAGCTCTTGCGTACTTGCACTCATCAACATCTCGCACGATTCTACATGGGGATGTCAAATGTTCCAACATTCTATTGGATGATCAGCATGATGCCAAGGTTGCGGACTTTGGGGCATCGGCGCTCAAGTCCATGGATGAAAGTGAGTTCATCATGCTTGTCCAGAGAACCCTTGGCTACCTCGACCCCGAGAGCTTCATGAGCCACCTCCTCAGTGACAAGAGCGATGTCTACAGCTTTAGGGTCGTTCTCCTCGAGCTGTTGACGAGAAAGAAAGCTCTATACACTGATTACAACTCCAGCGAGAAGAGATCATTGTCCCATAATTTTCTCCTTATGTTTCGCCAAAACAAGCACCAAACAATGCTGGATTCTGAGATCACAGATGATGATGCGGCCATGGTGGTCGTCGAGAAGCTTGTCATCCTCACTGTTGACTGCCTGAGTGTGAGAGGGGAGGACAGACTGACGATGAAGGAAGTCGCGGAGCGGCTGCGGGTGCTTTGGAGACACCAGATACATGCTTCCGGTGCTGGCGAAAACGGTTGTGAGTTTGATAGCAACTATGGAATATGGCCGTCATCTGTAATTCTTCCTTTGGACGAGATGACAGACGGAAGCTTGGAGATGTGCAAACTGGTGCGGGACATATAGGTGTTTTGTCGTCTGTACACTTCATCCCTGTGTCTGAGAGATGTAACTAGACAAAAATATTTATTTTTGAACTTATTTATAGCTTTGGACAATATACGTGCAGATCATATACTTCAGTCAAGTACAAAGAAACGGTGAAGCTGGAGACATGAATTCAGGTATACTACCTGTTCTTTTTCTAAATGTAAACGAAAATCAACTCATTAGAAAAAGAATACAAGGAAAATAATATATGATATGCTGGCTGGCTGCAGATTCGTGGCCAGGCGGGGCGTGCCGGCGTGGGGCGGCCGTGGTCAGCTTCTCGGTCCAGATCTGGATCGGGGGGGCTGCTCCGGCCTGCTGCACGTGGGCGGCGCGTCTTGTCGGCGGCGGCTGGATCCCGGGGCGGCGGCCCTGGAAGGTGGCGGCGAGTGAAGCTCAGGCTTCCCGCGGCGGCATGGCGTGGTGTAGTCCTTATCCAAGGCGGATCTGCATCGGCGATCTCGTGGTTTGGCCACGGATTGGTTCAGATCAGAGACGGTGATGAGCGTGCGGGATTCATCCCGGCGGCTCTCGCAGTTGGCGAGGTGGGGTGGGAGCCCTCCTCCCAGGCTCCAATGGTGGCACATTCAGAGTGGCTGGTGCGCCAGGGCTCCTACGGTGGCACTGCTGTCGCGGTTGGTCGCCGGATCTAGGAGGCTAGATCTGGGGCTTTGAAGGCGGTCGAGACAGTGCACAGGTTGTCGGGTGGATTTCTTGAAATGGATCCGGGTGAAAACTTGGTCTTCGGTCATTTGCCGGAGCCGGTGATGACGATGCTCTTATCATCGTTTCCTTCATGAAGACATCATCGAGGTGAAGCTTCCAACCCCACCCAATACCTCCAGGGGAAACCCTAGATCAGTTGATCGGATGACGGCGGCATTCATGTGTCGTTACCCCCTTGGGGGCGGCATCCTTGGAGATGCACTCGGGCTCGAGGGACCCGCGGATGGCAGCTTCGGTGGAGCGGTGTTTCCTTCTACATATCCATGGCGGCGGTTCTCGACGGCATGGAGCAGTGGAGGCTTGGCGTCAGATGTGTGGTGAGGGACACGCGCAGGAGGTCGACGTTGTCTGGCGTCGTGGTGGCGTCGATGGCAGAGAGGCCTGACAAGGTCGATGCGTCAGTACATGCTTTGAGGATGGATCGAGGGAAGATGGAGGTGACGGCCCTTTGCAGTGTGTGCGTGTGGTACTCACTGAGAGTGCGCCGGACTGGAGTGTTACCCAGTCCCGCCTATGTGGCCTGGATGGGGCATCCGGCGTTAGATGTTAGGCTTTCGTGCGATGTCTGTTTGGTATTTGGCCCGGACATTCGGCACGCTTTCATCAAGGGGATAGGAGTAGCGACAGGTGTCGTCTAGATGGTGGCCTCGGGCTTACTGTTGTATTACTTTGTAAGGTCTTTGTGAATAATAAATAATATGGCCGCATGCATCACCCGGATGCAGAGGCCGGGGGTGATTCCTCCTTTTCTAAAAAAAATGCTGTTAAGAATAATGGGCTTCTTTTCTAATATAGGTGTAGCTTTTCTTCTTCTTGCTTTTCATTTTTTTGACAGCAATACAGGTGTAGCTAGGAGTACATATACATGTGTCTGTGTGCAGCTTCGACGAAAAAAATGCCACACAAGTTCTTACTTTTTTTTTGAAATAATTCTTGTATTACTAAATAATTAGCGTCTACAACCATGTCTGATAATGTCCAAGACCTTCTCTGGAGCAGATCCAAATCATTTACTGGAGTAGTTCGTAGTGGTTCAGATGAGAGATTCGGCAGTCTTTGGATAATAGAGATTTGGAATTCTTTTAGTTCATAAGGGTTTGGATGAGAGATTGGGCAGTCCTATGGATGTCGTGATGAGCAATGTGTGTTCCTTTCCACTTCTGATGACATTTTGTGGTACCGAATGTGTGGTTCCTTATCCAGTACAGCTTGAATGAATTTTGGTTTGAATTTGATGGATCTGGTTGCTCTGTTCTTATTGGTCTAGAGATCTCTGCTTAATTACAGTGATTGTTTGCTGAACTTTTGGTCTTGCTTGTGCTAATTTCGTTCATGCATGCATCAGTACAGTTTAAGATGGCTCAGACTGCTTCTAGATTACTTCCAACTTTTGCTCTGAATCTTGCCGTGCATGCATGGGAATGTCGTTCTGCTGGTAAGATTCTGTTGAAGTTTGAACCGCATTTGTGTTTGAACTGCATAGGATGCCCCAAACTCGCTGCAGCGATCATTTTGTGCTTGTTCTGTTAAGAGGTACTAAAGTGAGTTAGCAGATGATCCCTTTTTTTTCTTTCTTTTTTGAATAATCTATGATGATCCTTTCCCCAGATGATCGACAATGCAGATGATATTGTGATGGTTTGATCTGCAGTATCTATGTGTACTTCTGTTTGTTGTGGTCATCATTATTATCTGCATATTCTTTGTTTTGCATTATGGGCTATGCAGAGCAATTGTTATACGGGGGATGAAGCTAACTGAAAATATTTGATACTCCCCTTTTTGGTTTTGACTCACGAACCTACGGTGATCATCATGTTTGCGTCCTGTGATGGCTTGACCTGCAGGTTCTTTGTTACTTCCGTTTGCTCCATCGATTTTTTCTTTCTTCAGATCATATGCGAGGGGTTAATTTGCTAGGTTCTTGATTTTCTTTCTGGGTCGACATGTCTCATGTGTTGAGAGTTTCAAATTTTTGTTCGGTTATTTTTTCATACGCTCAGAACAAATTAAACAGTGCTGGCACACATTCTTAACACAACTAACTGGCCATGTAGGCCCTGGCTCGGCTAGTCCAACAACATCTGGTCAACCATTTACTCTCCAAATTAAAGAAAAAACTAAAGAAAATGGTTCGGGTTTGTTGTCCTGTCTAGGAATTAGAAAAAGTGTGGAAGGATAGAAAGCTCACTAGAGGATGATGATGCCTTGAAAACTTGCGGTGATGGATAGCACATGGTGCTTCATCACTTTATGCCTTATTAAAAACTTGCGTGGTTCGATAGCACATGATGCCTCATCACTTTGTGCCTTATTAAAAACTTGCGGGTTGGATAGCACATGATGCCTCATCACTTTATGCCTTAGTAAAAACTTGTGTGGTTGGATAGCACATGATGCCTCACCACTTTATGTCTTAGCAAAAATTTGCGGAGTTGGATAGCACATGATGCCTCACCACTTTATGCCTTAAAGAGACATGTCATCAATCGTCAACAACCTTCTTTTTAATTAATAAGGATCATGCTGAATTTTGTAGACCTTTGAAGCCCCATCTCCCTTTCTAGCCTGAAAATGACAAAGAAGATACTCCCTCCGCCCCATTTGAGTAATGAATAGTAATTGGGTCTGTAATAAAAGAACTTAATTGATGGCTTGTAAAAAGTTGAGGCTGGACACGTGGTGGGTGCTGAGGTGGGCCCACGGCATCGCTTTGCTTCGCTTTGTCTCGCTCGAATCGCCTCGGCTTGTTAAAAAGCTCCAAGATGATCGACCCTGTCGTTGGCATAGGATCCGGGAAGCACGCCTTCAGCATCCGTTTCGTTTGTCCAGCGACAGTGAGTCACTCCCCTCTACCTCTTAACTTTGTCTTTCGACGTCTCCATCAAATGTTGGAAACCTCTATCCTCCTTCTTTCCTTTTGAAATGATTTCTCCCGCAAAAATAAAATAAAATTAAACTAATCTTGTGCTCTTGTCCTAGAGGCTAGAGCTAGCTAGGTTGGATCCAGCATGGACGTCGAGGGCGAGACCATGCGCAAGAAGAAGATCCCGGTCCCGGATGCTGCCCGGATGGTCAGCGCTTGGGCGCTCTTCACCGCTTGCGTCTTCCTCGCCTCCTTCGCCCTCGCCTGCTACCACGTCCCGTGCGACCTGGTACATATGTACTACGACCCGTCTACGTACGTACTAATACTATAACCCCTTGGATGCTTCGACCGATCCATATCCATCATGTTCATGCAGTGCGTCCAGTCGACGGACATTACCGGGATGGTGTACTGCGCTGCGACTCAGGCGGCCGTGGCGGCGCTGGCGCTGCTGCTCCCAGGCCGCCACCTCTACGTCCGCAGTGCCCTCGCGGACCTCGCGCTCGTGCTCACCATCGTCGTCCACATTTTCCATGATGGCTGCCGAGACCGACCACACCGTCAAGATCTACTGGACCATCGTCTTCATGGCGGGCGACTCTGCCAGCTTCCTGGCCCTCTTCTTGGGAGGTGAGGAGGATTGAGGACCGATTAGTTCAGCTCTTTAGATGAGGCACTCAGGCACTGATGATGACTGACTGACTGACGAGTAGTTCTATGATTCTATCTTATGCATGATGTAAGGGTCGATCGAGATAAGGTATTGAGTGTTGACGAACTGGATGTAGTGTTCCACCGTTTGGTTTCGACTTCTGAAATAGTTTTATCGTCAAAAAATAAAAAAAGATATAAAGCAGACGATCCTGTGATGTTTTAGTCTGCTAGCTGATTCTCTGTGTGCTTCAGTTTGGTATATATGCTCACACTGTGTACATGCATGATTGATCAACTTCAGAATATATGCTGGCTTTAGCCTGTAATCTCGCTCTTATGCATGCATGTGTTTTTCAGACAAGGAAAGGAAGTGCAGAGAAGAACGTTCAGAATACATTGATGCATGTACAACAGCGCGCTCTTCATTTTGGCTGCAAAAAGTGCAAAGTTGCTTCTGTCTGTTGTTTAACAAGTGCTAATTCTGCTATATATTCCGGTGCATGGATCTATTTTCCATTTCCCAACTATCTATTTTTGACAATCTATTCGTTGCCCTTGTATCTCAGCCATCAGGTGTTTAGTGCAGCAGAAGCAGATTGTATTACTATCAATTTGCAATCTTATGTACACATTTAAATTATAAGTTTGGTGGATTCGTTTATACAAAAAAATGTTCAACATTCACAAAATTAAAGATTTTTTAAAAAATAGATAAGTTATTTAAAAA